GCCCAGGCCCAGAGTTCAGGCCCCATGACTGGACCCCAAAAAATAAAAAATAATAATAAGTAAATATCACCATAAAGTATTATCATCATAAAGTATCAACGGTTACTAATATTACAGGAGGGTCACAACTGCTTCATAATTCCAATTCCTAAATACTCAGGTGCAAAGATGCAACTAGATTTTATTTCCAACTAAAGTAATTCTGCTTCTGCTTAAACTTGATGAGTTGGGTGTTTTCATAAAGTTTTACCAGATTCCTAATTCACACAATGATCTAAGTCACAAAATAACTTTTTTTCTAAAGTGTAGGACTAGAAACAAAAAATGGAAGCACAAAGTATTCCCAGATGAGATTAGTATCAAACCTAGATATTGGTCTTCATGCTCCTAACTGTACAATAATTACATGTGATTTATGCTTTACCTGTTATTAACAGCATTGTCTGCTATAACTCTGTGATGTGTTCTCTATCTGTCCTGTTCCATACAGTAAGCAACAGTTGTGACTATTGAGCACTTCAAATATGGTTAGCAAGACTAAAGAAGTGAGTTTATTTCATTTTAATTAAAGTTTCCATAGGTGGCTAGTGGCTATCAAGCTAGTTAAGTTCCACAAGTAATTTAAAATACAAAGTATAAACTAAAAAAAAAAAAAACCAGTGTTTTGTCAAAACCCTGATAGTAACATGAGCTCCTTCCTGGTACCAAATGATACATAAGGTAGGGCTATGAACACTAATATTATCTATGAAGTGAAAATTCATATTAAGCAGACTGAATTTGAGGTCTAATATTTGCAAAGGAATAATATAAAAATTGCATCTCAAGTTTTCCCCCTTGTCTTTGTAAAAGGGGTACTCACTTTCGGAATAGTTTCCCAATGTATGCAAGTTACTTTCCTTTCAAATCTGTTCAGTATCTTCTGTTCAGAAAAACAAATGACAAAAATAAGCATTCAGCACTAAAGTTTCCGCGACTTGGTAAAGATCAGACGTTCATTTCTCAAACCTTAAAGAAGAGATAGAAAATTTCTAAAGCGTATGCATTGCCTGAAAGCCTTAGTACTATTCTTCCAACATTTTTAGATATATGAATCGTTCAGATTTAGTAGTGATTTCATTTCTAGACCCAAAGTATTTTTTTCCAATTCCAGCGTGTCAACGTCTTTGTGTGTGTGTGTGTGTGGCACTTCAGGTATTTTTCCTCAGACAAGAAAAGTAACCAAGATGGTGTACAAAATGTCAAAAAGCAAACAAGTCTGGAAACTTGCACCACAGACTAACAACTAGTTCCAAGAAGAAATCAACCAGTTTTTTTGTTTGTTGTTTCCGGGAGAGAGGAGAGTGGGTGCCCCGCGAACGATTCCGCGAAGCAAACCCAAGCACAAGGTCGTGACCCGAGGTCACGGCTGCCAGCGCGGCTCCCGCCCTGCGGCGGAAAGCCACCTGTTAGGCCCCAGCCTCACCTGGCAAGAAAGAGGAGGCGCCGGGCCGGCCGCGCGCCCGACCTGAGGCAGCCAGCGCCGAACCCGCCCCTCCGGCTGCGGCCGCAAGCCCCCTGGCGGCACGTGGGCTTCCCTGGGCCCGGGCGGCTCTGACATGAGGGGCTCCCGCGGTCATTAGAACCCCGTCACGCGCCGGCGCCAGCCCTAGCCCGGGCCTCGGCCTCGGCCCCGGTCCCCCGCAGCTGAGCCACCCGGCCGAGCCGGGGGCCCACCGCCGGTCCGCCCTTTCCCCCCCTCCCCCCCCGGCGGCGTGATCCCGCCCTGCCGCCCCTCACCTACCTGGTCGCGGAGTTTGAGGAACGCCATGACGGTCGCCGCTGCTGCCACCCGACCCACCGATCCCGCCCCAACAGCTTGGGCCGCTGCCCGGGGCCAGCGGGTCGGCGGCCGGCTTCGCTGAAGACAACGCGGGCAGGGGGCGGCACCGCCTCCCCGCCCGCCCGCCGCCGCCGCCGAGAGGTGAGGAGCTTGGCCGGTCCCGCCTCCTCCACGGAGGACTCCCCGCCCTCTTTCTTCCTTTCTTTTTTCCTCGGCTGCTTCCTCGCGTAGTCCTCTTCGCCGCTGCCGCCGTCTCCTTCTCCTCACGCCCCTTCCCGAAATACCCCGGCAGCCCCCGCCGCTGCCGCCGCCACCGCCGCGCCGCTCCAGCCCGCGGAGCGGCGGCATCCAAACTCCACTCCACAATATTACCACCACCGCCCGCCGTGATTGGCGGCCGCGCGGGGGAGAGGCTAGAGTAAGCCGAACGCCCATTGGCTACGCCGCCTCGCTCGCTCGCTCCCCCCCCTCCCCTGCGGCGGGCGGGGCGGGAGAAGAAAGCCCAGAGGGGTGGGTGCCGATCGGCGGCGCGCGCGCGCGCTCCGGGCAGGGAGCGGGCCGGGGGAGGGGCAGCCAGGTATCTGGGCTGGGCGCGCGCCCTAGGCACGGTGGGCGGAGCCCGAGGCTGGAGGTGGGGAACCGGAACGCTGTGGGGAGGGGAGGGGAGAAAGCGGAGGGGGGGAAGGGTAGCCCACGGGCTAGGATTCCCACGTGGAGGCAGAGTGCGGGTGCTCCCCAAAAGCTGGGGAGGGTTTGAGAGGCCGGGTGAGAGAGGCCGGAAGGGGTGTGAGAGAGGAGATCTGGGAGCGGCTGGGGCGGGGAGACGGGTGGACTGGACTTGCACGTGGAGATTGAGAATGCACCAATTGGTTGGGAAGGATGAATGAGCCCAGCGAGTGGGGTGAGCGGTGGCCACGAGGGGGTACTGCCTTGTCCAGGGCGATGTGCACCGCTTGGGGGGGGGGGTGATGCTGGCACGCTGGACGGAAGGGCGTCGTCTTTGCAGCCACACAGGTTGTGGATGAGCCTTTGACTGCCCACTGTCCCAATCCCAGGCTGTCAAAGCTGCATGCGGTTCCCATTCCCGAAAGCTCCCCTGCCAATCTTGCAGATCTTTTTCCTTTCTTCTTTTGTATCCGAAGGATTTTACCTCCCACTTGAAAAGAATCAATTAAAAAAATAAAGATGTGCACAATTTCCAATAATATAGCATCCTGGGATGGAGGAGAGAAACGACTCCCTCACCCTGCCACACACCCCCACGCCCACCCCACAGCTCTTGAAACGGCTTTTCTTTCTTAGGCAGCCGCACACTGTTACCATTCCAGGCTTGTGTGGGAGAAGATTGGTTGTATGCCTGTCTGTTCACCCAGGCGGCTCCAGCCCCTGGTTAATAAAAGGTACAGATGGTTAGGACACAAATTTATGACGTCGTGCTTGTATTTTAAAATTCCCCCTTTCCCTACATTCACTTGTGTCTCTTGGGACAGACTTTATTTAGAGGATCGATTTGAAACTAATGGCAGTCTAAAGAAACAGGAATCTATTCCAGTACTGACTGTTTTATCATCATGCTGACCTTAAAGCAAAAAACAACAAAAGAAAACTTATCTTTAGGACCATAAAAAAATGAAAATATCCAAATACAAGCTCAAAAACACTGCTGATTACCAAATAGTCTGGTCCTGTGTTCTTTGTCATAATTCTGTTGAAACCATTTCTTATCTAAAATTACATTCCTCATAAATGATATTTGCTACTTAAAATGGAGGAATTCTAACTTCGATGTAACTGTTCTGATGAGGCCAAAAAGGAAGTCAGATGCTTTTGCTTGGTCTCCAGTACTTAACTCCTGGTTCTTTTACCTCTTCCACACCATCAGATAAATAGGAACACTGTCATCCAACCTCTCAATCAGTTCAGTGAAGGTGAATGTTAATGTTGTGAAAGCATTTGAGTTCTCCAAAACAAAGCTGTTATGTTACTCTTACTAGAATGTGATTACTAGCCACCAAATGCTTTATCTGCCTTATTAAATGGGTGTAAAAATCATTCATAAGTATGATTGTTCAACCCTGCAGTTGTTTAGTCCAGAGTTCATACACACTCTCCCTTCCAGTAATCTCTCCTTTAGGTTAATGTTCTAGAATTTAAAGACACAACAGGAACTTGATTAGGAAAACGGCAAAGTGTTTTTAAGTGTTTGAATTTAAATTATGGACTATACATGACTGAGCTAATAAAACTTTGCAGGGCTCTTCTGAAATTTCCTACTTAACAATAATTTATTGTTTTATAGTGTGCAATCTCTGTATTATAGTAGGCTATGAGCTCTCTTAATAGAGGATGCTTTAGACCTAGCTGGATTTTCACCTTGAGCATCATCTGAGTCTCAGTTTCACCATTTGTTTAAAAAACTAAAAAACTTATCATTACCTGGCCTACACATCTCACACTACCCAACCAGATAATGATATGAAAGGCTGTGGGAAAGCTGAAGAACCCTTCAAATTTAATATTAATATAAAAAACTACATTTCTGCAGCTGGTCAGACTAATACTTTGAATAATTGGAAATAAAAAAAATATTTCATTGAGCAATAAAGTAAAATAAGATTTATGTTCAATTTCTGGTAATATTTTAACTGTTATAGATTATTCTTGTTTATTATAAAATATTCAAATATTGAAGGAATCTGTAATCCAAAGAGTCTCACATTGTGGAAGCCAGTGGGGCCCAGGTACCTAAAGGCTCTCAGTCATCTCTTTTTCCCACTTTTCTCTCTCTCCTCTTATTCTCCTTTACTACAGCCTGCAGCTCTGTTCACATATTAAATACTCAGTAATAATAAAGCAGCTAGTAGTCCTAACAAATCTCCAGAAATGACCGATTGTTTGTTGTAGCCTCATGCACCCATGCCTCACCCATTCATTATTGCTAAATCAGAGAAGTGATGATAGCCTCTATTCAGAATTCATGTCTGAAACATCCAGATATGACCAGCGAAGCAACTGCTTTGAACTAGGCAAATTTTATTTACTGTGCTACTGCATGTTGGTTACTTACTGTTACATGGTATGCTTTACCTCATGTAAGTTTTTCATTAACCTCTTTTTGTTTTGCCAGTCATGGGGCCTGAACTCTGGGCCTGGGTGCTGTCCCTCAGCTCTTCAGCTCAAGGCTAGCCCTCTACCACTGGAGCCACAGCACCACTTCCAGCTTTTTCTGCTTATGTAGTGCTGAAAAATCGAACCCAGGGCCTCATGCATGCAAGGCAAACACTCTACCACTGAGCCACCTTCCCAGCCCCTTCATTAACCTCTTTATGTGGGAAAAGGGCTCAAAGGAGCTAAGTATGCCTAGAGTTAACCAAATAGTTTCACTGATGACTAATCAATGGTGGAGCTTGGATGCATGCCGTCCTCCAAAGCCAGAAAAGCAGTTATGTGGTTGGAAATGACAACTCCAGAGGGGGTTTTGAGCTAGAAATCCCTGTCTTATAAAAATGATTTTGATGAAGAGCCTGAAATAGAGAATGACTACAATTGACTGCCAATACAGCAAAGTTCAGAGCCCTAGATAGTATCATCAGAACATTCAGTATAAATCTAAGACATTTTATTGATAGAGAAGTAGAATATATAGATAAGAATGTCTGTGATTATATATTTACATATATTTTTATTTTTTATTTTTTTGTCAGTCATGGGGCTTGAACTCTGGGCCTGGTTGCTGTCACTCAGCTCTTCAGCTCAAGGCTAGCACTCTACTATTTGAGCCACAGCACCACTTCCAACTTTCTGGTGGTTTATTGGAGATAAGAGTTTCATGGCTTTTCTTGCCTGGGCTGGCTTTGAACTGCGATCCTCAGATCTTAGCCTCCTGAGTAATTAGGATTACAGGCATGAGCCACCGGCCCTGCTGTGATTATATTTCAAGAGGAAAAATGAGTGATTATATCAAAGAAAGAAACAAGTATGAATAGGATTTTTTAAGTGGGGCCTACAAGTAGTAGTAAAATTACAGAATATCAAACACAATAAGAAAAATGTTAAACTCTTCCTCTGAGAAAGTCAGATTAGCAAAAAAGGCATGACAGTCATCTTGTCAGCAAATTTGTCATTAATAATAGGTAATGGGAGATGGCAGAAAACATCTCTATTAAGAGACCTAACTGAGAAACTAGAGTTCTGTGCCTGCCTAAACTATCTTTCAAGTAGGCGCATAGATGCCCACTGAAAGAAATCCTAAGGAATAAATAAATCCCAACAAGAAAAAAGCTGAATTAAAAATAATAAAGTGAGATGGCTAAGCAAATGAATTATCAAATATCTTCGTCAGACTAAGTCCATAGTATCTTATTTTAGGTGTTAACATTTTAGAATTCTTAAAAAGGGAAAATTTAAATATTGGTCTTAGAAATATAGTAGATTATTATAGTAGGAGGAAATTCAGAGTTAAAGTAGCTAGACTTAACTTTATTCAGAAGTGAAATATTCCTTAACTTTGGATTTTGACAAGTTATTATATTGGTTAAGTTTCTTTGTTGAAAAGTACAGAATCCATGCAGGGGTTTCTTAAAAAGATAACAGCTCTCTTGGGCTGAGAAGGTGGCTCAGTGGTAGAACGCTTGCCTTGCATGCCTGAGGCCCTGGGTTTGATTCCTCAGCACCACATAAGCAAAAAGAAAAAAGCCGGAAGTGGCACTGAAGAGCTGAGGGACAGCGCCCAGGCCCAGAGTTCAGGCCCCACGACCAGACCCAAAAAAAAAGAAAAAGAAAAAGATAACAGCTCTCATAGTCATTGGAAGAGCTAGCAAAACAAACTGGGGCTAATCTTCTTGAAAAAGTGATATAAAATGTGAAACAGAACTGACATGATAAACTGTTGCTGTTTCCATCAAGTACCAAGTGCCAGGAGCTCAACTTTTCTTAATTTGCCCCTGCTGTCAGCATCAATTGCTGTCAGCCAATTCTGTGTCAGAAACTTGATCTTGAAAGCAGGAAAGTGGAAGCTGCAGAGAGCTTGTGTCCTCACCTCCCTCAAATTTCTATAGGCACTGCTACTTAGCATGAGCCTATGGCACAGGATTGCATTATGGTTGTAAATTCTAAACCCTATTCCAAGAAGATGAGATTTATAACCAGAGAATTCTCCTACAATAGAAATAGTGTCTAAAAGATTATAGGCTGCCTTAAATATAACAAAGTTTTCTTTCTAATATGCATGTGAAACATTTATTTACCAAAGTAAGAGATAAAATGTAGCTTCCAAATGTATAGAGAGAAAAACAATGGCCTAGAAAAACCTA